TTTCTCTATAATTTCATAGACACAAAGTGTTTTGCACATAGTTATTCCGCGCGCTATATAATGTTATTTAAACAATTTATAAAATGGCTACGAGTGTTAAACCAAACTAAAAAAAAAAGAAAAAAAGACAGACTAACTTTTCCCTGAAAATTTCCTAATTCTCGCGCCGATGCTATCGTTATCATATATTATTAACAAAACTACGTATTTTGTGAGATCTAGATTTCGCGGCATCAATGTCCTATCAGGAAATGATGGGAATTAAAAAATCTCATCATGCATTGTTAATGTCCTTTTTGTCTTGGTAGCTGGGTTATTAAATTTTCACTTCATSTGTTGCCGAATTCTACAAAAATTCTTAAAAAACGCCTYTATTCAAGTCGGCTCCTACAGATTTGCTTTTCTTTGATAAAGCCGTTTGTAGGTTGGATTCCACCAACGGACTTGATTCCATCAATCAACGTTAATAAAAATCGCAATTRGCTTTCTTTGTCGTAAAGGCTGCTGTATGGAGACTGAAATTTTGCCCATTCTTATTGTGGCGAGTCCCTGCTTGGGTATCCCCTGCTATGGGCATATGAACTATTATATACTTCGATAGTGCTGTTATCAGATGAGAAGGTTTTCAAACAAGACCGACGTCGTAGCGAATTTCCAAGGTAACATTGTAACTTAAAAATGTCAAAATGCTTTGTTTCTGACTAAATTCTTTATGAAAGATGAATCTAAAGATTCCAAAAGTACGAAAAAAAGCCAGAAAAGTCATGAAAAAAAGTTTGTTTTCCTAAAAGTTAGGCTTGAAACTCTGATTTCACATAAATTTTGAGAAGAGAATTTCTTATCTTTATTCGTAGCTTTGAAGGATTCAGTTATACATACATCATTTGCAAAAGTGTTGTTATTCGATTATATAATTCCAAAAGTACACACACGTCGATAAAAATTCTGAAAAGCGTTTGTTTCCTTGAAAGCTGGGCCGCTTGAAATCCTGATTTCATAGAATTTTTGAGAAGAGAATTCGTATCTAGTGAGCTTCGAAGGATTCAGTTATACATATATCATTTGCAAAATCGTTGTTACACGAAAATAGGACGTCTTTATGTTTATTTTAATGACATTTAGCCAAACGGAATGCCGTAAAATATAATAATTCAAAGAGCTGTTTTGGTATTAGTTTATAACTGACCAAGATRCGGACATGACACTCCATGTTCCCGGAATCTCTCCTGGCTTTGACGGCAAATGACAATACTGGCCCACGAACACATCGCAGCCAGTGCGCGAAAG